AGGGACACCTCCACAACTTTTTTTTTTTTTTTTTTTTTGCATTTGATGATGATGATGTTGAATTTTTTTGGTAGTTGTTGTTGATTGTGATAGTGGTGGTGTTGGGTTTTTAATTCTGGTAAAATACACAGAATTTACCACCTTAACCCCTATAGTGGCATTAAGTACATTTTTGTTGTGCTGATTTTTTTTTTTTTAGACAAAACTAGAATCATCTTTGTTACCTGAAGGTTTGCTACTTTTAAATAACTTTTTATTCTATTTTGAACAGAAATATTTATGTTTAACAATAACAATTTAGACAATAAAGAAGTAGCAGTAGGGCCGGCCAAGTGGCGCATTGGTTAGGAGTTGGCTTGGGACGCCAGCTCTGAGCAGCAGGGCCCCAGTTCGGATCCCACATGAGGGCCAGTGACACTGCTGCTCCCTCTACAACTAAGATGGTGAACAACAGCTCGACCTGGAGCTGGGCTGCAGTGGGGATGGCCGGCAGTGGGAGTGAGCTGCCCTGAGCCACTGTGAACAGCTGTTCAATTTCCGGCGAGCAACTGCCTCACCCGGGAAGAGTGCAATGATAATACCAACATGGGCCAGTGGATACCATGTCCTCCACAACTAGACTGAAGAACAAAAGGACAGTAACTTGTCTCTTCCCCTCCCCGGACTCCCCAACGCTGTTCCCCTCCCCCAATTCCCCAATAAAAATTTTTTTAAAAAGTAGCAATAAAATAAATGAACTGTTTCTCCCACTCGCCACACTTAATTGTCAGATAGCAGTGATAGCCCCTACCATTTACTCAGCACTTGCTCTTGGTATGGAATTTTCCTGCCTAATCTCACTTACTCTCAACAAGCATCTCAGCTATTGTTGCCCAACTTTTCAGATGAGGAAGCTGAAACCTAGCACAGTTCTGTAACTTGTCCTGGGTCTTGTCCGTGCCAGAACCAGGATCTCCATACCCACATTCCAGAGGCTGTACTTGGACCATTAGGCTATAGAGGAAGGTTGACACTCCAGCCTTCCACTCCTCTGCACATTTACTTACCTTTAAAAACAATAAAAAGGCAAGAGTAATCTCTGTCCCCCAAAAGGGTTCATGCTGCTTTGATACTCACTTTTTTCACTTAACAATGTATTGTTGTGTATCCTGTATGCTCTCCTGACATCTGATTGTCATCAGGCACCTTGTAAGGGCACAGAGGACTCCACTGGAGGAAGCCTATAGTTTTTAGGTCCTTGTATTGGTCCAGCTCCCTCCTAACTGATACTGAAGTGTTTCCTGGAAATTTTCCCCATAAACAAGGCCCTGCACTTAAATCCAGGTGCACCCTTACTTATTTCCTTAAGATACATTCTTAGCAGATGGAACTGCAGGGTCTAAGAGCAGGTGTCCCTCTCAGGACTTTTGATACATGCTGCCAATCGCCCATTGCCCCACTCCAGACACTCTCACCTTCTATGGACACAAAGTCAAGCTCAAGGAACATATGAGCTCTTGCCACCATACCAAGCAGCATCCGACATTGGGGAACATTAACCTACCTTAATAACCCCTGCTATGTATAAAGAGTAGGTACTATGACCATTTCCATTGTTTACATGAGGAACTGAGGCTTCAGTGACTTAACTACTCTCAGCCATACAGTTACTAGGTCACAGAGCACAGGACTCCAAACCAGCCCTGACCAAGGCTGATGATACCCTTCTCTTGGCCACTGTACTCAACTCCCTCCCAACAATCCTTATTTTATATTTATTTTAGTCCTTGCAAAGTAATAATAATCTGTCCTCAAAGAATGCTAACCACTTTGTATGATTTATCTTCTCATTACAACCTTATGAAATACTCAATATTGATTACCATCTTACATGTGAAGAAATCTGCCTGCCTGTACACTAAATGCAAGTGTACATATATACATAGCTATAGTGTAAATATATACGTAGCTATAGTCTAAAAATATATATCTCAAAAGCACCTTTTCTCAGAAAGTTAATGAAAGATGTGCTCCACCAAATGAGGAAATAAACCAAGAGAGAAGTGATGGGACCCCAGGAAACCGTAAGAAACAGAACACACAGGAAGGTGATGAAGGGAAGTCCCAGGATTTGTCCATCCACAAATACGTATTGAGCCTCCCCTCCATGCTAAGCACTATGCTAGACATTGGCGATTCATTGGTGACAAAACACAAAAATCTCTGCCCTGGTGGAACTCCGATCCCACTGAGTGTTGGTTGAGGTATGGGGAATGGTAAGCAAAGTAAACAAACCTTATGGGTGTTAGAAGGTAATAAGTGCTGTGGGAGCGAACGAAAATCAGGTAAGTGGGAATTCAAGAGTGCCAGCCAGGCAAGGAGGTGCAATTTTAAATGGTTAATGAGGAGAAATCCCACGATAAGAATGGGGAGGACACAGGCCCAAGGGGATCAGGCTTCAGAGGGCTCCAGAAAAATACTGAAAATGGTAGATTCTCTGGTGGGTTTCACCACATAAAAAATTGAATTAAGAAGCTGACAGAAATGAGGAAAACCTGTAAAAACCAGCCATACCACGAAGGAAGCACAAACACAGTTCACTAGGCATCTCACTCATCTCAGCTGAGTCATATTTACAGTCATAATACAGATGCACTGATTCAATCAGTAATTATACTCCACCTCAGCAGGACTCAGGGAGGGAGGAGGGTATGAGAGAGCTGAATCCTCACCTCTTTTAACGGAAAGGTAATCATAATGACTACAAGTGATGAGCCAACCTAGAGTAGAAAGATATTATTTAGAAAGATGGACATAAATCACAGGAAGAACACTGAAACCAGTAGTAAGAGGGGTATCAATAGGGAAAGATGAGGCAGGGGCCACTATTTTTCATTACAAGCCTTTTTAGAACTATTTGGCCTCTTCACCATTGATGCAAGTAAATTAATAAAATGAGTATATCTTCTTTGTAGAAATTCTAAGAAGCTCTCACTCATGAATGTGAAGCTGTGCAAGGATCTTTGTGACAGCACAGCTTTAATGTGACACAAAAAGAAAAAAGAAACCACCAAAATATTTATCAACGAGAATGGTAAAATAAATTCTGGTACATCCGTGCTGGAGAATTCTACTGAAAAGAATAGGGCAAAGCTTACAGAGGAGAGTGAAGGCAAAGCAGCAAATTGCAGAATATGAACTGGGTTCTTTAACTTTTTTTAGTTAGTCTATTACATCAAAGCAGAGACATGTAGTGCTTGAGTAAGTCAAAGAGAACAAGGAGGGCAAAAAACTTGAGGAAAATGAACATGGTGAACGTTAGAGCTCCCTGGAGCCACACGTGGAGACAACTGGGTCTCAGGTAGCCTCAGGGTAAGGGTGAAGGGAGAGGGGGGAGCTGTGGACCTGAAGAAGACAGCTGAGCAGGCAGCAGGGGCAGGGCAGGGAGGGGCAGATGAAAGAGGAAGGACAGTTCTCAGTTCTCACCGGGCCTTAGTGGCAACCAGTGTGCAAAGCCCAAGCCAGGCCAGGCTGGGTAGCTCTTCTCCTTTGTGGAGAAGCAGGGCACCCGCTCCATGGATTGGATCTGGCTGCCCCTCCCAGGACAGTGGGCAGGAGGGGTGATGGACTCACCTAGCCCAGCACAGTTCTTTGGTACCCTGGCTGGAGGAAAGAGGACAGCCCCCAGCTCTTCTCTGTGCCTTTGTGCCCAGAGCCTCTGTCCCTGGCAGAAGGGTGATCTCAAGCCAACAGTGCAATGGCTTGGCCTGACATTGTGAGGTCACGTTCCGCCCAGGGAGGGGCCGAAGTATGACCATTGCTACCCTGGGATGGGCTGGAAGGCTGCCTTACATACACGGCCTATGTGTGTGGAGTACTCTCTGCAAACCAGCCTCTGAGCTTGCACCTGGCCTGAGCTCTTTCTTAGTCACTTCTATAACCTTCATGGCACAAGGGTGGAAATGGGGTTCAGAGGCTTTGGGATTTGCCTAATGTCACACAGCTAGTGTTATTAGTTATCTAGCACTGTGTACAATGTTATCACAAAACGTAAAGGCGTAAAACATTTATTATCCCATGGTCCCTGTGTGTCAGGAATCCAGGAACAGTTAGGACAGTTCTGGCCCAAGGACTCTCATGAGGTTGCAGTCAAGATGGTGGCCAGGACTGAGCCATCTAACTGCTTTACTGGAGCTGGAGGATCCACTTCCAAGATGGTTGATTTACTCAGCTTTTAGTGGAGGCCTCAGTTCCTCACCAGGTTGGCCTCTCCACAGGGCTGTCTGGCTGTCTTCATGTCATAGTGCTGGCTTTTTCCAGAGTTAATGTTTCAAGAGAAAGAGCATACCCAAGATGGAAGCTGCGGAGACTTAACACCTAACCTCAGAAGCGATACAGCAACTCCTCTGCCACATTCTATGAATCCCACAGAACAGCTTTAGGATTTTCTTTTTTTTAAAAAATATATTTTATTGGGGAATTGGGGGAAGGGGAACAGACAAGTTGCTGTTGTTTTGTTCTTCAGTCTAGTTGTGGAGGATGTTGCTTCACTGGCCCAAGCTGNGGGCTGGAAGGCTGCCTTACATACACGGCCTATGTGTGTGGAGTACTCTCTGTAAACCAGCCTCATAGCTTGCACCTGGCCTGAGCTCTTTCTCAGTCACTTCTATAACCTTCATGGCACAAGGGCAGAAACGGGGTTCAGAGGCTTTGGGATTTGCCTAATGTCACACAGCTAGTGTTATTAGTTATCTAGCACTGTGTAGCACGTTATCACAAAACTTAAAGGCATAAAACATTATCTCATGGTTCCTGTGGGTGGGGAACCCAGTAGCAGCTGGGGTAGGGGTGGGAGGAACCTAACTGTGTGTAGTGGGAAGCGGTTATTAAGTTAGGAACACCCATCTTAGATAATACTGGGCGCCTTGTTAAAATAGTGAGACAGACCCATGTGTCCCCACCTGGGAAGCTCTCCACTTCATGTTGTTCAACTGAGAAATAATAAATGGGGAAACAACATCAAAAGTGCCATCTCAGTTTATAAAACAAGCCAAGACAAATTGTGGGAAAAAGTGCTGGATCCGGTTGGAAGGACCCACATCAAGCTATTAATAGTAGTGGAGTTGGGAGCCAGGGAAGGAAGAGTGGCACAGAGGGGCACAGAGAGGGTTGAGGCGCAGGGGGGTTCTCAGGGTTTCGGTGGGGCAGGGCCGCTAGGCGCTGTGGGGTCTGCAGGGCACGGTGGCACGCGTATTGGGCCTGCGCCTCTCCCAAGCCTCCATGCAGTCTCGGGCTCCTGGCTGCTGGTCTGCACTTAACCGAGGTCAGAGGGTGACGCAAGCCCCTACTGTTTTACCGCAGCGCATCCCTCTGCATAGGGATCCTGATTGGCCCTGGCAGAGCTCCGCTTCATTTTGACTGGGGCACCCCATCCCTGACGTGCCGGTCCGCGTAGACCCGGCCCCTGGGCGCAGGCAGGGGGTGCAGCGAAGCAGGTCAGACGGGATTCATTGCAAATGGCCCGCTGCTCGAGCCCAGCTCGTTTGGGGCGTGGTCGCTGTTGAAGTCTCTGTGTGGTTGATACCATCTGTCCCCCATTCTCAGGCCGGCTTCTCTGGCCTGGGCCACCCAGAACCTCTCCGGGAATGACTGCATCTTCCCCCGCAATGTCCCCGGTGCGCTAGGAGCCTACGAGGTCCTTCATCTATTGTAGGTTAGGAGCCCGAGGCTTCGAAGGGACACGCCCCCAACCGCGCTCCAGCGCTGGGAGCGGAACCAGCATGTCGAGCTACGTGGAAGCCTCCTAGCTCCCAGGTAGCCCTGGCCCAACCTGGAGTTGTGACGCATTGTTCCTGAGGCCACAACCTGTCCCTGTGCCAGAGTCTGACTAATATTAGGCCCTCAAGTCCTCCTACTCATGCACAATACTAAACATGCCATGGAAATGCTGGGAGCATGCCAGGTCACCTCCCCAGCCTTTCCATCTCAGTGAAAGTCACCTCCCCTGCCCCCCAGTCCACACCCACACTAAGGTAAGCCTGTCCCCTCACTTCACTTGGCTTTGGCACGACTGCCACCCCACAGCAAGCCCCTCAGGGTGTCCTTGCTACCCCCTAGCAACCCAAAGGCACACTTAAAATGGCAGCCTCAGACTCAGAAACAATGTGGACAGGCCAGTGCCAGGGCTGGGAGAAGTGTAGAGGGGAAGTGTGGGTTAGTGTTTCATGGGGTGCAGTTTCAGTTTGGGGTGATGAAAATGTTCTGGAGATGGTGGCGATGGTTGCACAAGGTGAATGCACTTAATGTCACCGACCTGTACACTTTAAAATTGTAAAACACTGTGACTATTACGTGTGTTTTATCACAATTGATAAAAGAAGACCCTCCAGTCACTGACCCCACACCTCAAATAAAATCCAAACTTGCACCACAGCTACAGGGCGCAGCGCCCATCCTCCATTCCCAGTGGCCATTGGATCTGTTCCTCCAACACACTAAGCCCTGCCCTGGCCTTTGTGGGGCGGGTCCCTTCACCTGAAGTGCTTTCTTTAAAGTCAGTGCTGGCTCAGGTTAACTCTTGTGTCACCTGGCTGGCTACCATCTCACTAGACTCTCCAGGAGTCTCCACCCAGAGAGGCCTTGGTGACAGCTCTAAGGAGGCTGCAGGGATTGGCCAGGCCAGATGCCGGCCCTGGTGCTCATCAGCTCTGGGACTTAGTGCCCCAGTTTCTGCATCTGAGAAATATGGGTAATACACAGGACACCCTTTGGATTTTTGGCAGGTGAATGGAAGGAAACACCCGTAGGGCACGAGGACAAGGCCTGCCAATCTCTGCTCAGCTTCTAACCTATTAGCCCAGCTCATCTGCCCCCTCCCAGGGACCTTTACCAGGGCCAAGGAAACTCGGAAGGTAGGGCCCAGCTGCAGGGTACAGGACACTCGTGACCACGAACTGCTCAACAGCACCAGGCAGGGTCACCTACAGCCATGCAAACACTGGAGTGCAGGAGGGTTCATTGTGACCCCCTGGGAGTAGAGTCAGGAGATGGGCTGTTCGGAAAAGACACTAGAAGAAATGGAGCCTTGATGATCCCAAGAATTCAGAGGTGGGATTAGGGCTGGGCAGGTCGGGCAGGCCACGGACAGCGGCTGGGGACAGCTCAGGGGCCCTCCCACCACTGCCTCCTGCACTCAGAGCTGGGCAACCTGGGGTCCCGAGACCAATGTGGCTTCTCCCGAAGGTCAGAGCAGAGTGCCAGGCGCTGTGCCTAGGTCCTGCACAACTCAGGGGTGCAGAGAGCAAGGACACCAAACCTCTGCAGTGCCCACCTGAGGTCCTTCCCTGCCCATCTTGTCTCCACGATCAATTCTCTCTTGTTTAAAATTTCAGAGTGTATCCTTTCCCTCAGCCTCGACAGGCAAACTCCTGAAGTCATCTACACTAACTGTCCCTAAACCAACCCCTTTGCCGGCTTTGGCTTTCCAACCTACAGTCTGTGGCTTCCCCCCTCCTGCTCTCCATTTGTATCCAAAAGGCACATTTGCCTGTGGGTCTGCATCCTAACAGAAAGTGGCCCTATCGTCGCCTCCACTGGACCCCACAAAGCCTGGCAAGGCCTGGCTGAGCTGGAGTCCAGCCACTGTCAACCTTAAGGCACACATATCCCCCACCCCCAGGAGGGCCACCAGGGTTATGGTAGAAACAGCACATGTCTGCTTTGAAGCAAAACTCGGAGACCAGGGCAGTCCTGGGCAGGGCACACGGTTTATCTAAGCTGGCTGCCTCTGGGGTCAAGGCTGTCCGCCTGGGACAGGGCTCCCAGAGACCAGCTCCTTGATGGCCCAGCCCTGACAGTGTCCAGGTGGGTCTATGCATCCTCTCCAGGTGTGGTCCTTGGTCACTGCTTGGCCTCCTCTGCCTGCCACACCAACTCGCCTGAGATGTAGGTGGCCTGGACGTGGAGGGAGTCATCGAGCACCACGAAGTCTGGGTCAGAGGTGGGCTGTGAGCAGGAGGCAGGGGCGGGGCTGCCCCCAAGCTCACCCCCACCCTCAGGCTGGTGGGGAAACCAAGGCCTCGGGCACACTTGTGTAGAATGTCCCGACCCAGCCCAGATTAACTGAGGCCCTGGAAATAAGACTCTTGGCAATAGGAGACAAAGAACAAAGGTCCCAGCAGCCCCTTGCCTGGCTTTGTCTCAGATGCCAGGGAGCCTGGCGTGATGGGAACGCGGGGCTAGGCTGAGGCTGGTGGCCAGGTAAGGCCGCCTGGGTGTGGGGAAGATCCTACCCATGTGCCCATCCTGACCCTGTCCCAGGCCCCCCAAGAACTCTCGAGTCTTCAGGCTGCCTGGGCGCCCCCAATTCAGACCCTGACCTGCATCAGCCCCGAAGTCCAGGGTCCCCTTGCGCTTCTCCAGTCCCAGCAGCTGGGCGGGGTGCAGAGATGCAGCCTCCAAGGCTGCCTCCACACTGCAGCCTGCTCAGGGGACACAGCTGGGTGACCATCTTTAACCCCTAGCTGGCTCTGCCAGCACCATCCTCGCCCCACCCCCATGGCCCCAGAGCTCCAGGTCCTAGGCATGGAGTGCAGGCAGAGAGAACACACCCTAGGACTCTGCAGCAGGCTGACAAGGCCTCCCCTTGCCCCCATTTCCACTCTTCCTGGCCACTCACCCATCCAGGCCCTGCAGGGACCCTCTGGACCCAAATTTCCATGGCCCCCTCCTCTTCCTGAGTTCCAGGGAGAGCACCCCAGAAGAAAGTAGTACCCAGGGCATCCATGAGGCCACCTGGTACTCAGGTCTCTGCCTCTGCCTCCTACCAAGAAGTCAAATGACCAAATCCAATTCTTTCTGTCTCTTGCATCACCCCCCAGGCCAGGCCACAGCCATCTTCTGCCTCCCAGTCTGTCTCCTTGCTGCTCTAAACAGCACCTTGGACCCTGGTGCCCCCCAACCCCCAGCGCAACATCCCAGCCCTGGTATACTGCCAAGAGTCCCAGGGGGCCTCACCAACCACAGCTTCTACCAGACAGCCCCACCCACCTCCCCTAGAACATACAGACCCCCCAGAGAGGGTCCCGCACAGCCTGACCCCAGAGCTTAGATTGCTGCTCTGGCCCCCCTCGCCTCCCCACAGCTCTGCACCTGCCAAGTCCTGCCATCCCACAGGCCCTACCCTCATTTGGGGTGAAGGCCCTTCTCTTGGGTGTCGTGGCTTCAGTGCCTGTCACCCTGGGTTGCAGCCATCTGCTTGCTTGCCGTCCTCTCCCCCTGCTGTGAACTCCCTGCGGGTGGGGCCTTGACTACATTCCCGGTGCCCATCCCTTGGGAACCCTACCAGACATGACAGATGAGGGATGTGGGTGCAGGACCCTTGTGGTCCCCACTCTTCCCTCCATCCTCTCCCAGATGCAGCCTCCACCCCCCAACCTCGCTGACCTGTGGCCTGCAGGAAATGCCGGACGCAGACATCCATTGGGGCTATGCTGCCACTCAGTGTCTTGGTACCTTGAAAGCGGAGAGTAGATTCTGCAGGGGCCAGAGGCCGCCAAGCACATTGGGTAGGGGGGTGGGGGGACAAGTGGGTTGGCAGGGGACACCCAGGTTCTTGCATTGCACCAGAGGGATTGAAGGGCTCTTCTCACATGGGCACTCAGTGGGGATGGGGTCACTCACCTGCCACGTAGGCCGTCAGCCCATTCACCTCCACCTCCTGCTGCCCCAGCGTGTGACGGCCATTGCCCAAACCCAGGGCAGGGACTGCGTCGGTGACCAACACCAGCCCTAGGGGCGTGGAGGGGAGAGGCCTCAGGACCTGCTACGCCTGGTCCTCCTACCTGCCCCTGCCCCGCCCAGCTGCTTACCCTGGGGATGGGCCCGGTGGGCGATGCGCAGGGCAGCAGGGTTGGTGTGTGTACCATCAGAGATCATTCCGTAGAAGATGTGGCGGCCTGGGGGCAGCCGGTCACTGGTCAGGAGCCCCACAATGCCCGGGTCACGGTGGTGGAACTGGGCAGAGCCAGGAGGGGGGCAGCTGAGCCACAGCAGGAGCCCCCACGCCCGCCCGCCGTCCCCAGAGCTGGGGCAGCACTCACAGGCAGCATGGCATTGAAGAGGTGGGTGATGAAGGTGGCCCCGCTCTGCACGGCTTCCTCCGCGGCCTGCAGGTCGGCCACTGAGTGCCCTGCATAGGGACCCGGACTCGACTCTGCACCCAGCCCAGGACCCCTGGGTGGACCCACCCCCTCAGTTGGGGACATACCCCCTCACCTAGGGACACACAGATGCCACGGGCTGTTAGTGCCTGGATCACCTCATGGCTGCGATCCAGCTCCGGAGCCAGTGTCACGATGCGGACATTGTCTAGGGGCCCATATGTGGCCAACACATCGTGGAAAGCGTTGGCTTCAAAGGAGCGCAGGTGGGCCTCAGGGTGTGCACCTCGCTTTTCCCGGCTGATGAAAGGGCCCTCCAGGTGCACCCCTAGGTGGAGGGGATAAGAAGGCTCCAGCCTGGCCCCCCACCCTGGCCCCTCTTGCCATCCCACACTCCCACCCCAGTTAGGCATCTGGAAGGGGAGGGGCTGCCAACAGGTCCCCAAGGAGCCTCCCAGGGTGGGGGCAGGAAGAGGGGTCAGCCACTCACCGAGGATCCCTGCCCCATGGGGACCACCACTCTTCACGGGGATCTGAGGAAGGACCTGGGAGGAACCAGCTGTTAAAGCCCTGCCCCCCCAAGGCCCAGCACCCAGAGGTCACCACCCAGCCCAGGTCTGAACTCGGAGCTCGGCCCAGTGTCCCCTGGCCTTCTGTCAGGTATTACGAGATGGCAGAAGGCTCCCAGGAATGGTCAGGGAAAGCACGGCACCCAGAACCAGCAGGACACAGGGTCAGAAGCACCAAAAAATGACAGGCCACGGGATGTAAGACTGGCCTGCCAGCGAGGACCAGGAGACAAGAAGTCCCCAGGCAGGGGTCAGGTGCACGGGCACCAGGAACTTCGCCTGTCCTGGCCCTGAAGGCGGTCCCAATCCAGGCAGCAGCTGGGACACAGTCAGGGCCTGGCCTCCCGGAGGGCCAGAGCAAGAGGAAGGAATGCAATCCAGGCAGAGCCAGGCGCAGAAGTGGGGGCTCAGGCACCAGCTGTGCCTGGAGCTGGACATAGCTGGGAGGGTCACTTGTGTGTGACAGGTGCTCACACAACGTTAAATATCTCAGAGGTGGGCAGGCACCCAGGCATCCCAGCCCACACCTTCCTCCTTCAAGGTGAGGAAGAACATGGAACGGGAACCATGCAGAGTGCCGGGGGCGAGCCTAGTGGACGGCCATGTCCCCAGCCCAAAGTAAGTACAGAGACTTTTAAGAGGCTTAAACCCAGTGTGACAGGGAGGAGGGGGGAAGGGCAGGCCAATTTGGGAGCCTGACAAGCAGAAGCTAGGCAGATGTGGGCAGATGCACGTGGTGGGGACAAGAAGCAAATATGGCTCCACAGCTCTCATGGGATCGGGCCTTGGCAGCATCTGGTGTCTTGAGAAGTTGGGGAAGTGACACTAGGGGCCTTGTTAAAGAGCAGCTGAGTCCCTGAGTGTGCCCCGCCAAGTGCCTGGAGAAGTAAATCAGACAGGTTCCAGGCGAGAGGTGGGTCAAAGCAGAAAATGGTACAAATAAATGAAGTTTATATTCTTTGCTCCCGGAAGGTTGCCAGTCAGGCCCAATTCCCCTAGCCCAGGAGAAAAGGAATCAGGGATTTTGACCTAAGGGTGCCCTTAGGAGCCCAATCCTCCCACCCCAGCTTGGTGCTCTGGGTGGACAGCTGGGACCTGTTCTCAGTCGAAGCAAACGACCAAGGCCTACCAGCGTGGGAAAGCCTCTGAAAGGATACATGGAAAGCACAACTAAAGACAAGACAGAGCTGGCCGGGGAGCAGAAACCCAAAGAGAGGACTCACACCCGTGAAACAAGAATGGGATGTTAGAAAAAGGAACGCTCCAGGGGGAAAGCAAGAGCTTCCACGTTAAAAGTGCCCCCCCCCAAAAAAAAAACAACAACAAATGGAGCCACTATAAGATGGAGCCGGAGCTGCCATCCCAGAGGAAATGCCTTGCACGCCTTATATCTCAAATCTTTGGAATGTTAGGGCAAAATAACCTTTGGGCTGGGCCTAAGCAACATTGTGTCCCAAAGAACTGTTTGCAAGGATAACAAGAACGCAGTGATTCTGACTACTGGACTGGTGACTACCCAACTGAAAATTAAAAACATTGTTCAGAATTAACATCGCTATGCTATGTTATCTGCACCAACAGAAACGCCTTCTTTCTGTTGATGTGATTGCTCCCCTTCCTCTTGTCATAAATTTCTATTGCCTTTCTCTCTAAATCGGAACACTATTTGGGCTTCTGTCTGAATCAATACCTCCTGAATATCTTTGATCTCAAATAAATGCTTGTTTGCCTCTCATTTTAAAAGGCCTTTTTATTTTTGGGTTAACAGAAGTATGCACTAAAGCGAAAAACCTAAGGGAACTAGAAGATAAAAAAAGCTAAGGAAATGTCCAGAAAACAGAGTTGAAGAGGCAGAAAGGAGAAAAAAATGAGAGAAGCTGTCCAGGAGCCCCAACAAGGGAATAATGACTTCCAGAAGGAAAAGACAGTGGAATGACGGAGAAAAATCATCAAAGAAATAACTCAAGAAAAGCAACAACAAAAAAAAACAAAAAAAATTGAACTTCCAGGTTGACAGGGCCAGCACAGTGAATGAATTCCCACGAGTCCCCCCGAATGTCACCCTGAGACTTTAGAACCCGGAGACAAAGGGAAGATCCCACAAGAATCCAGAGGGAAGAAACAAGTCATGCACAAAACATCAGGGGGCACATGGCTTCCAATTTCGCATCAGCAACCCTGGAAATTCAAAGACAATACAGCAGTACGTTTAAAATTCTAAAGGAAATGATCCTATCCTAGAATCAATCAAACGAATAAAGACATTTTCGGACCTTCGAGATCTCAAACCGTTACCTCTCATGACTCAGGATGTGTTCGTTCCACCAAGCAAAGGCATAAACCAGCAATGAAGACACCAAAGAATAAAAAGGTCTTTTAAAGTGAGAGACAAATGCATGTATTTGAAATCAAAGATATTCAGGAGGTATTGATTCAGACAGAAGCCCAAATAGTGTTCTGATTTAGAGACAAAGGCAACAGGAATTTATGACAAAGGGAAGGGGCACAATCACATCAACAGAAAGAAGGCGTTTCTGTTGGTGCAGATAACATAGCATGGTGATGTTAATTCTGACCAATGTTAATACTGGACAGAGATCCAGCAGAAAGAGGCCAGGAGACCCCCAGGTGAGGGCAAGGGGGCTTCCAGGACAGCTCGGCCAGTGAGGCCAGCAGCCAGTTCTGTTAGAGCAGGTCCCAAAGCCTTTCATAGGAAGATGGAACCCTTAGTGTGTCTAAATATCCCCCAAAAAGAGTGAGACAACTGGCAGAAAGCCAGGAATTGAGTCAGTAGATTAAAAAACTAAGCAAATAGAGTATTAACTCCAAGGAAAACAGAGTTGATAGGTAAGAAAATATAAATGTGCTACAAGTCCCCTTTACACAGCCCTGAGGACTTATCTAACCAAAATTATAAGAAACTCTTTGGAGACGATGCGGGGTTGGAAGGGCATGAAAGAGGGCTCAGGGGCCACAGCGAGCCAATTATTATCTTTCCTGATGAGAAGGAAATGCATACTGCCCTAAACTGAAAAGTCGAGCAGGAGTCAAAGCATATATGAGGGCAAATTCCAAAGGGTCAACTGGGTTGAAAGTGATTGTCCCTCGGTGGGAACTGATGGGGGCAAAGGGCTGCTGTTTTCCCTAACAAGCTATGTGACATATATAAGTTCACTAAAGATTAAAGGAAAAAAAAAAAAAAGATAAGGCAACGGCTCAGTTTTTCCAGAATAGTGTTTTTAAGAGGGAAAGTGAGAGAGCACTAAGTAGAGAGAACAGAATAAAAGACAGTCGGACGGTGAAGGGAATGAGGTGCCTTCAAGGCAGGAAAGCAGTGGGAAAGGTCAAAGTGTAGAGGGCGTGGGGGACCAGAGGGCTGGCTGCCACCCTGACCAGGTGGCTGATCTTGGCTCAGCAGAAATGGACCTGAGCAGAGAACAATGCAAGCAGATCTTTCGATGAGACCCCAGAAAAAGAGCAGGTGGTCTCAGTGGACCACAACATGATGACGAAGGACATGGGTAACTTCTGACAACGTGGCAATTCAGTTCTGCCCAGTGAGAATGGACCCTGGAGGAAGGTGGGGGTAGAAGGTGGGGGGGTACAACAGAGATATCCAAGTGAGCAGACCTATAGTTTCCAAGATGATACCCGTATTAAGTTTTTCATATTCAAAGCCCTCCATGATTTCCACTATACATCAGTTTACTATTCTGCCTCCCAAGGTCTTCATCCTGTAAGTGTTTATGGGAGGGTGATGAGTGCTGGTAAGTAAATGTTAAGTCCTAGTGGCCAGAAACTCCTTCTAAGGAAAAAGACCTTGTAGTCTGTATTGCAATAGGGGAATGTGCTTGGGGCGGCATGTGGGCCAGCTGGTGCAGCAGACACAGCAATGCACAGGCCTTCAGGTAGAAGGCTGGGGGACAGGCAATCAACTGCCTGGACCTGCTGGAATGTGCCTGGGGAGAGAGCAGAGGCTTGGCAGGTAGGGAGGGAAAGTTCAGGAGGGTGGGGTTTAGCCTGCAGATAAGGAGGGAGGGGAGGCGACTCTTCAGAAAACTAAGAGCAGTTTCTAAGCCTCACTGGTGGGGACCATGAAGGGGGAGGACAAAGAACAAGGAGGACAAGAGAGCGGGCATGTTCCCAGATTCCTGGCAGGGTAAATCATGGAATGATGAACAGGAGAGAAAACACAGAACCAGGTACCAGTTTGCAGCAGGAAGGTGAGCTTGTCTTTTAACATTTGACTCTATGATGGGAGAGCTGGGGAACACCCCATGACCCTAAGAGATGGACACCATGATTACTCTCACTTTAAGTTTGAGGAAACAGAAGCTCAGAAAAGAATAAGGATTGTCCCAGTCTCCCAGCTGACAGATGTCAGGGGCCCACACCCCACCTCACACAGCTCCCGGCTCTGACTGTGTCCACACACCCCACTGAGGACAATGCAATCGGTGTAATGGAAGAAAAAAACTACAAAACTGGAACAAAAATGGTAGATTAAACAGTAAGTGTTAATTTCCTAAAGTCAATAACTATTGTGTTTGAACAGAATACCCATGTTTTTCAGAAATAGTTAAATGTTAAGGAGTAAAGAGGTATGATGTATACAACTTACTCTCAAACAACTCAGAAAAAAAGAACAACATACACAGAGAGAGAACAAGACCAAATAATAAAATGTGGCAAAGAATAAAGTGGAGAACCTGCACAAAAATATAAAATGTCTTCAAGGATAAAGGACCCGTGACACCTGAGTGGCAGGACTTGCAGCTAGGAAGGAAAGTGGGAAGGTGTGGGATGTAGGCGAGAGCACCAGAGGAAGCCTGGAGTACAATGGCGCTTCTCTCTGCAAGGTGTGTTTATAGGAGTCACATACCAGACAGGTTAGGGGGGAAGAGCCTGAGAAGCGGCTAAGGATGTGGCAATCGGAAGGTCCCCAGCAGCCTCCATCCAGGAGGCCTTTCTGGAGCCTGGAGGTGGCCACATTGCAGGGTCGGGAGGGCATAGGGCAGATGAAGGTGCTGAGGCAACAAATGTGGAGGCCTATGGGGACACCTGCAGAGGCAGTCAGCCGGGCAATGGCAGGGGGATCTAGGGAGGCAGGCAGAGGGACAAGTGAATGAGAAAGCCCAGAGAGCAGGACCCCAGGACCAGGCGCAGGGAGGCCGGCAGATGAGGCCAGACCCAAGTGCCAAGGGGCATCTGTGGGGAGAGGAGATGAATTTTGAAAATTAAAGGGTTGGCTACTTCTCGGCCCTTTTTGCTTGAGGTCTGAGCCTGACCTCACCTTGTGATAAACCTCCGGTGGTGAGGTGACTAAGGTGGGACAGAAGGAGGTGACTCCATGCGATAGGATCTTACGGGCTACCAGGGCGACTCCCGAACCCACATCCGCTGTGGCCTGTGAGAAGTCAACGCCAAATCCTCCTGCAGCCACAGAAAAGAGGGGTTCGTACGATGCTCTGAACTCCTCTCCTGGGTCTCCACCCTCAGGCCCTGGACCGTACCGTTGATCTGCACATCAATGAAACCAGGCGCTAGGATGCAGCCCCCGCAGTCCCGCTGCTCGTCGGCTACCAGCCTCTCTTCAAAGAACAGCCTCTCTGGGTCCAGAATGCGACCCCCACGCACCCACAAGTCCTCCCTACGGATAGAGAGGGGCGGGGTCTCGGGTCGCAGGCGCTATACCCCTCCCCTCAACCGGCTGCCGCCCGCTCTCGCGCCGACCCCAGCACTGCCGGGCCCTGCGCCACGCTGGCCTCACACCCAGCAGGGCCTGGCCCTGCACCCACGGGCCCCCGCAGGCCCCGGCGCCCACCCGAGTAACACCCGGCTCCACACTTGGTGGCCCTACGCCCCACCTGAGCAGCCTCCGGCCACGCAGGATGCGACAGTTGGTGAACTGCAGTACCGGAGCCCATGCCGCGCCCTTCCCGTTGCGCATCTTGAGCCGCGTAAGCCCAGCCAAGCTGGGGGCGCCGGCAGCCCGGTGGCCGAATCCCGCCGCGCAGAATCCCAACCCGGAGCGCGGCCGCAATCATGTGACCCTCAGCTGACTAAGGTGCGTGCCACGTGACCGGCGCACCCATGTGACCCGTGGTCTGCAGTGACGCGGCGGCCCAACAGGCGGCCTTCTCTCCCCTCCCCCAGTCCACACAAGCGCTGCACACAGGCGTCCAGTCACATCCGAGAACTTTATTGGACACGACTCGGGGCCTGACAGGCCCAGCACACGGCCCCACAGCGGGAGCAGAAGGACGGTGGTTCCATCCAAGAAGTCTCAGGGCACACGGTAACCCCACAAGGCGACACTCTACTTAAGAATACTATATAACTGGGAGACGGAGGGCTGCTCCACAGACGTGTGAACAGGTCAAATCTTTATAAATAAACATCCAGTGAAGAGAAAATGACAACTCTAATTCATCCTTATACACAGAGCACTCTAGGGCAGGTAGATGGGTGGGGGCGGCCAGAGGCCTGCAAACTCACTGGTCAGAGGGGCCTGGGTGGGTGATGAGTGGGCCCAGATGTCCACGGCACGGGGCGGGTGGGGGCAACAGACAATGGGCACTAGGACACTGCGCATTTACAAGACCAACTACGGGGGGGGGGGGGGGCAGCTGCCCCGTGCATGTGTGTCAGGCTGTTCATTCTGGAATGAGGAGGGGGTGGTCTTTACATCATATTCTGTGGCTGGTAGGCTTGGAGAGGGGCTACTTTGTGGAAAGGATGAGGGCGACGATGAGACCGTAGAGGCCCAGCACCTCCGCAAAGATGAGAATCAGGATCATGCCCACGAATAGTCGGGGCTGCTGGGCAGTGCCCCGCACACCAGCGTCCCCCACAATGCCAATGGCAAAGCCAGCTGCCAGCCCACTCAGGCCCACACTCAGACCAGCGCCCAGTTGGAGGAAACTCCTGGGGGAGAAATGACACAAGATGGACGTTAGTGCCTGCTGGGAGAGATGATGGGCATGGGTCATCACTGGCTACCAGCCAAATGCCCGCTCCCCAGACCTCCCAGTGGCTTGACCAGGGGCAGGGCAGGGTATGAGGAAAGGAACCACGTACTCACTTGTAGAGACTGATGCCTTCAGTCAGGGAGTTGGCGATGAGGACTGCTACCACCAGGCCATAGATGGCAATGATACCAGCCATGACCACTGGGATAATGGACTTCATGATCAGCTCTGGCCGCATGACTGACATGGCTGCGATACCGGTGCCACTCTTGGCTGTACCATAGGCAGCGCCCAGGGCTGGGGATGGGGAGAGAAGAGGTGAAGTGAGCCCAGAGCATCTGGGGCCAGGACACTGGGGTTAGCTCTGGCACAGTTGAGGGCCACCTCATGTTATAACAGGCAGGGGGAGATGAAGGTGGCACCCAGCCAGGGCCAGGAGGTGGCCCTCAGGGATAAGTCACAGCCCCGCACTCAAGGAACCCAGGTAGCTGTTTCCTTCCTCTACCAGAGGCCCTTATGGCTGCAGGGCCTATCTGGCCTCCTGCTCTGCTAGAAATCCCCGAACCATGCTCTCCAGCACTCCCTAAGTCTGCTATACAGACCCCATGCTGCCAAAGCACCTTAGCTCAGCTGCCCACAACCCAAAAGGTGGAGCTCTGACAGGCCGGCAGCCCAGTCACATGGGGGAGCAGACAACTGGGCCTCTGAAACCCTATTGGAGATTCTGGACACCTTTTGTCCCACCTAAAGTCCCAGGCACTCAGGTCAGAAAAGGCCTGGAAAAGCATGAAAGCACTGCATCTCAGTAGCCCAGATGTCGTGGTCAGTCGGCTAGACCTGGGGCTACGCCCAGGGACATGCTGTTAAGAGCCCCACTGCACAAAGGGTCTGACCACTGTTCCGGGGAATTGGCCTGGCAAGTCCTATCCTCTCAGGCCAAAGCTTCCCCGACTCCCCACCCTGCCTGGTGAACTCCCCATCACTCCTGGCCTTGGAACATACTGCTGGGAGGGCTTGCATCTGTCAATGGGCTGAGCACACCTCAAATTTGGAGAATCCTTTCTTAATAACCAGAAAGGGCGAGCCAAGGAGAGGACAGGGCACAGGAAAATGGCAGGGCTGTGGAGCCATCACCCAGCCCAACTGTGTAGCCTTGGCAGACCTCCCAGAAGCCTAGCTTCTACCCAAGGCCTCAAGTAATGGGGGTGGGAGGCTCTAGGGCTGTCCTCCTCCCTCTTCCTAGGGTATGCTGCCTTCCTGAAAGTTCCCCTCTCCTCGCCTCTGTCTTTGAAGTCCAGTAACCCTTTCACAGAACAGGGTTACACGGGACCCAAGCAGCAATTCTGCCACCTGCTCTCCAGGGTCCCAGTGCTTCTTGACCAGAGGATGACATGGGTCAGAGATGAAAGGGACCAGGATGATCCCCATTCCTCTGCACATTTTATTCACCAACTTGGGCATTTTATTCACCTATTTGGGTCGCTCTGCTCACCACCAAGCAGGGGTGAGGTCAGGGGCACTGCCTTCCCAGGGTTCTAAGCCTGGTGAAGAGACAGATGTGTCACCTCCAAGCACAGCGTCATGTTCCAGGAAAGTGTGTGTGTGTGGGGGGGGAGGGCAGTCTGGGAAGGGCTTCAAAGAAGAAGTGACATCTGAGAGGAGGGGTAATAATGAGCAGGAAAATTCCAAACAGCATGAATGAAGACACCAACCAAGATGGCACCAGATGGGGAGCAACTAGAGGGAGGAAGCAGGGTTTGGGACAGAGAGACCTGCACTGCCTCCTCCACATGGTCCCAGAGGCACCTCAACACTGCCATGCTTAGACATTCAGCCTGGGGCTCAGGATCAGTCTTCGTGAAGCCTTTCCTGGAACTCTCCTGATTGCAGTGCATTCTTTGGACTCCTACTACAGACCCAACATGTAAGGCTGTGTCACATGTGCAAGGGCCAGCACCACGGCTCATCACTCAAGGAGAAGGGAACAGGCTGCTGTGTGGCACTGGATGGGAAAACATTTACAGGGAACTCAGTATGGCAGGCAGTGGCATGGCATGCCAGAAGTGGGAATTGAGCTGGGCCCTTCTCTCAGAGGGCAGCAGGGAGATCATGTGGCTGGGGGTGGGGAGAAAACAAGAGGAACAAAAGAAAGAAGCAGGGATGACCATCAGGAGGGAAAGGCAGTCTGGCCCGCAGTGGTAGTTATCCGGGGAGGTCCTGGACATTAGCTCGGGAGGTCAAGCCTGACGGTGTTCCAGGTGGAGTGGGAAACAGAAAGACTGGGATCAGATGGCAGTACCGGGAACACAGCACCAAATACAGGGTACTCATGAGCAGGGAGGAAGTCAGAGAAAATACGGAAAAGGAACAACTGACAGTTTTGTGGAAGACATGATGAAGAAAGAATTGAAGGGAATTTTGTCACAAGAAAAAAGGGGAAGCTGAGATGGGGACTGGGGGAAGGCCTGAGAGTGCATGGGCCTTGTTTGATTGTAAAAAGACCAATCAGCCAAGCACTAGGCAGGCCAGGGGCAATCTAGGCCAGGAGCTGGGGACAGAGCTTGGAGTCAGCCGGGCTGCGACACCCGAGAATTGAGAAGCTTGTTCAGTTAAGGCAGGCACAAGGAAACAGATTAAGACAAGCCTTGGAGAAAACGGCATGTTTAGAGGGAAAAATGAAGTAAGAAGTTGACTACAGTAGGACCACATAAGCCCCATGTGGGGAGGGGTGCAGGAGTGGAGCTTCATTTAGGCCAACAGGAATGCATGGCCCCAGCCCCCAGGAGCCTAGGGCAAGCAGAAAAGCCCTGGACCAGTGCTATCCTGTTCTGTTAACTTTTGGAGACCTGCTGATCAGGCTCTGTCCAAAAGTACCAGGTTCTACAAGGAGAAGAAGAGAAGCACCTGGTAACCAGAAGGAGGCCAGGAGCTGGGTACAGAAAAAGGGATTGGGAGTAAACTTAGGATTTCAGGAGCCAGCAGTGACAGCCAGAATCCCATGTGGGCAGGGATCTTGTTTTATTCACTGATGTCTCCATCTCCTGTGCTTGGCATATAGGAGCTCAATCAAGACTTGTTGAATGAATGAATGACAGCCACAAGCAGCACCCCACAGATGGCCAGGCAAAGCAGAAAAGATTGGGGGGATGGGGCATGGAAGGCTGCTGGGAGACACTGGAAAGCAATCAGCCTCTGAAGATGTGGAAACAGCAGGCGTTGTCCCAGTGGGAAGGGGAAGTCTAGACCACTTCTTCCACCACAAATGATTCTTTACTTGCACATGATGGGAAGGGCAGAGCTCACTCAGCAGCTCGTGACTGGAAGGCAGGCCCAGGCAGGCCCAAGCAGAGGCAGGCCCCCAGGAGAGCAGAGCCCCCAAGCCCCTACCCCACAAGTGTTTACAGTCAGCAGAGACTGTTTGGAGTTCAAACCCTCCACAAACCTGCACAGGGAGCCTCCCAATCCACCAGGCAAGGCGGGGCAGGGCTTTGTCATCAAAGCCCAAAACCAGACCCAGACCAGGCCAGACCAGTCCTTGGGGGCTGCAGCTGGGCCAGGACTCACCTCCCTGGGTTCCACATTTCTGGGCCTGGCCTAAAGGGCTCTCTCCCCAAGTAGACCAATTTTCACTAAATTTGACACCTAGGACTGTCAAGACCCAATTCAAAAGCAGGGTGCCATAAAGAACCCTAGGAAGCCCCTTCTCTATGCCTAGGACAGTCCTTCCCAAGTCTGGGCCTCAGGAAAGGGGAGGAAGGTCATTCACTCATTCATTCATTCATTCTCATTCATTGCGGCAGGCACTGAATGAAAAGCTCTCCTAAGGGCAAAGACCCAACCCCCTCAACTCTGAGGCTCTAGTGCGACCATCTCACCCACCCCAAAGCAGACTCTCGGCAATCGTCCACACAACACAGCGCTGATGCTGGCCTAACTTCCAGACATTCATCCTTCATCCTCAGCCTGTCTGACCCTCCCCTTCCCCTCAATTCCACACACTCCCACCCTCGGGTCCCTGCTCTCAGGGCCAACCCTGCTCAGCCCAGTTTATCCAACCAACCCACACAAGGCTA